TTATTTATAACCCTAAGAAAGTTGAGACAAGGCAAACAGAGGTCCAGCAAAATTCAGTTAACTGATTTAGTCTCCTCAGATAATTTTCTTTATTTAATATAAATTACGTGTTCATCAATATTCCTTGAAAATGCTGGGGACTTGATATTTTAGCATGGAAATCAAAGCTTATTAGTGCATGGACAGCCATCTATCAAATTGAAAACATCTTAAGTCAGGAGTGGATTTGCATTGAAAAACATCTTGTTTGCAGTTCAAGATTCCTGTCGAGTGTTCTTCAGTAAAATCACTTTATTTAACTCTTAATCCGATGCAGGATGACAATATTATCTTCAGTGTGGAAGATCCTTTGGGCTCCATCTTGTGGCTATTTCAGTGACTGTTTCCTTTGAGAGAGCTGCCTGCCTTCAGTTGGTCAAAATATCACTAATAGTTTCAAAAGCATACTAGCATATGGCTGTATTTATTATTTTCTAGAATATAATACAGAATTTTTGACCCTATTTTAAAGAATGGTTTTTAAAGTATTTATAATGATTTGGGGTTTTTGATTCCTTTATTTAGGACTAAAAGTTCTATTAAGAGTCTGTGTAATACATTTTGGAGTTATAGAATCAGATACTTTACTTTCTTATCCTTCGACTCTTTGAAAATTACATAGTGAGGCTACAAAATCGTTAGAAAATTACATAGTGAGGCTGTGATTCATCTTGAACCAGTGGCATCTGTAATCCCATACTACCATGACCATTTGCTTTATGAATAAGATGACTTCCAGTTTTTCTGGTCAATTACAAAACTAAGCAGCTCTGGAATCCCCCCATTTTGTTTTGGTGGTGGTTTATTTTTTTTTTTGTTTGTTTGTTTGTTTTTTGTTTTTCAGTTTGGAAAGCATCTTGATTTTTATATATATTGAAAAGGGATGCCACTGTGCCTTGGTCTGTTTATTCCACCTTCTGTATGCAGAACAGCATTTTCCAAGCCATACAGTACCATTACAAGGAGTACTAGAAGGAAATGGTTCTTTACTGAATTGACAAAAAGATGTAGTTTGGAGTTTGAATGTTCATGGCTTTCCCATTTTCTCCTTTTGTTTGATTTTAGCTGCACTCAGATGTTATTTGTTTTTTACACCACAATGCATTTTTTGAGAAAAAGACTAAATGTAATCCTACATACTCTCCTGTATATTTATTTTGATGAAACTTGTTAGATGAATGTTATTTTCGTTTTGCTTTCTAAAAACTAGTAAATGAACTTAAGAGCAAGGTGTCAGAGTGTTAACGCTGAAAATCATAATGGGAGTGTTGCTACTGACAGGCAACCAGGACATGCATCTCACTAACTTGCAAGTCTTCATAATATCTGACTGTAGGCAGTCTACAGAGCAGGTGAGACTCACAGAGGTCTTGAATTGGATGTGCTCTTAGGAGCAAGGCAGAGTTTGCTCTGTCTCTTGCTCATTAGCTCCAAGGAGGATGGAGAAAGGAACTCCCTGGCAGCTCTGGTTCACGAGTCACTTTCAGAAAGGAGAGTGTTCTTACATGTACTTGTGAGAATGAGCAACCACAGGGATTGTGTCATGGCTGAATCCTGTTTGGTCCACTAGAAACACAGATGTAAAGAATCTTTACAAAACAAGACTTTCTGACACTGACTGGAGAGACAACTCATTACTCTTACTTGCTTGACATCCCCAACTCAGTCCATGTCCACTATAGTCAGAAATAAATAGGATATGGGAGATATGAATTGAAATAAGAAATTCTACTTTATGCAGAACTAGGAAAACTTGACGTTTTCTTTGATCTGGCTCTATTCCAAACAAGGATTTTTGTAACCCTCTGTAGTTATAAAACATTTTTGAAATATGAAAATACTCTTTTTGTTTATAGCAAAAAAAGGTAATTTTTAATATTTATTTCATTTAAAAGTGACAATTAAATGTGAAAAAATGCTGAAATATTTCAGCATGTTGCATTTCTGTTTACTGTTTTCTGGAGTTGCCCTGGAAATTATGGGATTTATATCACTTCACCAACCCCTGGGTCTATTTAAATTAGTTTGATTTCTTGCTCACATGCTTTGAATTATTAGCAAGAGTTAAAAATTTTTGTGTACTGGGAGCCAGATTTGCTCTTGGTAAATTTTGGAAGTGCCTTCCTCATGCAAAGGTTTTCTGCCTCTTGCCCTTTTAGAATTGACAACATTTACACATTTCTGTGACAGCTTCTCTATCCCACACATGTTGAAAGAAGGCATAACATGATGCTGGAAGGTAAAGCTGCCCATTTTCTAGGACTTTGGTCACAAAGTCCTAGAGACCTAACCTTTGAAAGAGAATTAGTGAATGCCTAAATTTCATGCATTAATTGTGCCTCAAGGTTCCTGTTAGTATCATCCATATTTGGAGAAATCAGCACAATATGTAATCTTTCTCCAACTTAATTTTGTTCTTTTTTGTCTCTCGCCAGCTCCTTCAAGTCTGATTTATGCTATGCACAGAATGTACCATTGACTGAACGCGTCATTCCATCTTCTCTTTTATGATGGCTTGTCACTCTGTATGGCTCATTATTCTTGTTTTTCTAGATGAGGGATGTATTTGAATAGGACAAAATAATTGGAGAAATCTTCATGTAGAGTACAGTGTGTGTGCTGTATGATTCACAGGAGAAATGGTAAAGTGCTGTTTGAACTGTGCATGCTACTACCACAATATATTTTGGATAATGAGCCAGTCAATTTAGAGCACTGCCTGGCTACTTCTATTATTTTTGCAGCTGTGCAAAACATACTGTATCCTTAAGCAAAACCAGTGAATATTACCCTTTTTTATTGCCAGTCAGAGGAATACACATGCAGCCTAGAGCAATTTCTTGTGACAACAGAATAAGCAGAAATAAATAAAACCTTATCATATTTGGAGTTAGCTAGTAGCATGCAATATTTTCTGTATGAGGCCTGCAGAGAAGGGGAAGCTAGATGAGAAAGCATGGCAACTAAAGCATGGCATGTTCATTTTTTGGAAGAGGCCTTATTATTTCTCTCCAGTTTTTCAGTTTAGTGCATATCTACTAAAGGCATGAACATCACTGAACCAGTTCGCTTTAGTCACTGAAAGATTTCATTTTTCTGGCATTTTTTTCACTAGAATCACTACCTTCCTTGCTGACAGTGTTGGTTATGATCTCAGAAAACCAGAGGGTGGTATAATCCAAAAAATAAATAAAGGGATGATAATCATAAGAATGACTAAAACTGAATTTCAGTTTATACTTCCATGTTTCTGTGAAATAGGTTGGTGGTAACCAGCAGGATGAGATACAGCCTGAGCCAGGTGCATGAAAGTAGCCTAAACATATTTGTTGCAAAATCCTTTCAACTAAGAAATCAAAGGAAATTTTTTGAAGCAAAAGAAATATAGAAAAGAAAATGAAATGGAAAAATCAATTTAACTTCAAAGATTGTTCATGAAAAATGCATTTTTCAATCAGTTTTGCTGGGGAAGATTTTGGTTAAGGGGGAAGAAAATCCTAGCTGATGGAAAATGAGCACTAGATGTTTAAAAAAAATTCCCTTGGTGTTCTTCTGTAAAAGAATGGGCCCACAATCTGACAAGGGTGAGAGAAATAGCACCCTTAAAAATTACCTCGTTCTTTTCTTTCCATCAAGGATGTAGCAGCTCATGTTTTTGAAAACTGCAGAAATTTTGATATCTGAAAACCAATGGCTCTATGAGTAGCTGCCAGTTTTCTGATTCTCCCTGCTTCATGTGCTACCTTTCATGCCTCAGTTGCTGCAAATTAATCTTTGGACAAAATATTCTGCTTAATACCTATTAAGCAAGGTTGTTTTTGATAACTGAAATTAATTTTATTGTTCTGTTAAAGACATGAAGTGAAATTTTGGCCTCAGTGGAGTGAATGGGAATTTTGCCGCTAACATCAATGCAGCCAAGATTTCACTCATGAGCTGATAAAACAGTTGAGACTATACTTTTTTTTTCCAGTTCAGTTAACAGCTCTGTACAGGGATAACAGAAAAACCAAAAAAATGTCTTCATGTATAGGCAGTAAAGGTTGGCTCCACTGTACTATTATGTGAAACATAGAATTTCCAAATGGCAAATGACACTCCCTAGCCTCCCTCCCCCCCACCAAATCTCCCATCAATAATAAAGAGCTAATTTTTTTCTCATTGAATAAAAAATCTTTCTCATAAAAATAAATCTTGAATAATCCTAAGAAATATATGGATATGTTCTGATAATGTTCCCATTGCTCTATTTAGTAAGAAAGACAAGACTTATAAGCCCAATACTCAATAAAGTTGAACAGGTTTAAAAAAAATACCACCTCAGTGCAAATATTTCAAATTATTTTTTCTCTTTGAATAAAATAAGAAAATTAGGAAAAAAAGTTTTAACTCAGCAAATCTTATTCGGAAAGACAACATATAAAGAGAGATTTAGGTTCTTATAAATATATTATATTTATCTTTAAATACAAGTAATATCTTTTGTTCTGATTTAGGGCAAATTTTTCCACTAATCTGTTAAAATATCAGGGAAGGACTTCAGCAAAGGTTACATTCAAGCTCCATATATATGTGAAAAGAGGAAATTAAATGTGCCTGGGAAAGCAACTTCTGCAAAGAACAAGCAGCCAGGTCAGCATGCATGGTGAACTGCAAGTTTTGTTCTCTTTGACAAATCCTAATGTGGTAACAAAGGCCTTTCATTTTCCTCCCATCCAGAATGAGGAAGTGTCTGACACTGGTCTGTATTGGCCTGTTTTAAAAAGGAGCTACCAACAGTGGAAATGACAACAGTGTTATCCCAGCAGGAGCAGATAAAGTTGGCTGATGGTAGCACACGCGGTGCTGTGTGTCATCACAATGCTGTAAATCATCACAATTGTATCACTGAACGAAAGAAATATTTCTCACAGCAGTCACAGCCTGAAAGATGTTTCAGTCAAGGGAAAAGATTGATTTACCTTTCTTCTCCCCCTCCTTTTTCACTGCAGCTGAAACAGAAACAAAAATACAGTGTTTTCAAAATTGAAGTTAATAGCAGTATCAGTAAAAATAATTCAAACACGTATATGAACATTTGTGCACATATATCAAATCATACATATATTATGCCATAAAGGAATACATTTCTTGGCCAGATGAAGAAACTGAAACATTTCCTCACAGACAGCTCTGCCATTGATGAGAGCATATTCCAGCTTTCTACATCCTCACACATAATTTCAGCAGAACACTGTCCTTTACATTGCTCTTTCAGAAGCTGGACAATGTGTCTGAGTCTGAAAAGCGGCAAAAAGATGGATAGTTTACCCAAGGAACTTGGTTTTCAGGCGATAAAAGGCCAGAGTACCTGCTGCATAGTGCATGGTAGCGGGGGAGGGAAAGGCATGAAACAGTGTGATGAACTAGACAATGTGATGCTCCAATGTAAGAGATTCCCTTGGCTGTGTGCTTTTTACCCTGATTATTTGAAGAAAGAACTAATTCTTGAGTTAACTTGTTTTTCTCTCTGTACTGAAGAGACCTGTCTTGTAGTTCTTGAATTACGACACACAGAGCTCTACACAAAGAGGGCTCTATTAACAGCCTTAAATTACAGTCTGTCTTTTCTAAGCCTATCCAAATCCAATAATACTTTTTCAGTTAATATAGATAGTATACAAAGCAAAACACATTTATTAAGAATATACACACCACGTTATGGAATTACAAATCTAGATTGACAACTATTCCAGAAACCAGAAATGAGCATTGTCATATTTTAGGTTTTGTGGATGGGTTAAAAAATCATTACAAGCCATGGAGGACCCTGTTCAATTTTTTTTTTTTTTTTTTTTTTAGTGTAGAGTGGGAAAAGAAAGGTAAATTCCAGTGGTGGAAAGGTCAGAAAACTGTGATAATGCAGTAAGTATTTTCAAGGAGGAAAAATATTCAAGTTTAAGTCTTTTCTATTGTTTAAGACTTTTATCAGAAACTTGAACCTTTATCACCAGCAGTCCTTCAATCTCTTACATAGTGATGTTTCCAAAGGACTTTTTTCTTAGCAGTTGAGCAAACACAAAAATTTTCAAAATCGTGACATCTTGAAAGCAGCAAAAAACTTCAAAACCTGGTTCCTACTCAAAACCAGTTTTTCTGTGTAGCTTTATGACCCAGAAAGAGTCCAAAACAGTCTAAATATTGTCATAAAAGTGTCTTCTTCTACAAATTTTCCCTTTGTTTTCTTATAAGAAGCAATTGGATTCCATCCTGAAACAGGAAGTTTAACTTTATTTCTAAATGTATAATAATTAATTATGAAAATTACATTTCCATACAGATATCCAGTTCCTCTGTGTCATTTCTAAAGAGCCCTTGACCTGGATTTGTGATTTTCAGTCTTATCATGATTATACTAATTAATCTCAGAGGAAATCTTGAATCTTTCCTATTTTACCTTGTATGAGACTTTTGTTGTTTTTCCTAGCCTACTCCAGTGCCAGGCTATCATGTCAGGGTTTTGCACACAACACTCTGGATGAGATGCAGCTTTGATTTATGCAATAGCTTTAGAACATTATATGCCTTTTTCTTAATGCATTTGCATATGGAAGAAACTTTTTCAGTGACTTGTCTGCAGCAATACTTTGGTACTTTCCTGGATTTACATGGTGAATTTAAGATAAACATTTCTTTAATATTTTCCCTCTACTTCATATTTCATTATATTTATGGACACTAAATTTTCTTTAACATGGTGCTGTCTGTTTACCTCATAAATTCAATGTATCACAGCCCCTTCTTATCCTGAATTCTTTAACTGATTTAGTCATCTGAAAATTTCATTACATTGCTATTTCTATCTTATCCCATTAATTAAGGAATATAACATGAGTCCAGACATGAAATCATAAGCAATTCTTCTGTTAACAAGATGCAAGATGAAAATTAATCAATTGCTCCCTGATTCCTAGCCAGATATTTATTTTCTTTAACACTGTAGGTCTTATGCAGCAGCTCCTTGGCTTCTGCAGTAATTCTTATAATGAGACTTTATAAAGGTCTATTTAAAACATTAAATAAATGTTGTGTTTCTTACTTTATTAATTTATTGGAAAAAGTTATTATTAAGACATAGTTTCCATTTCTAGATACAACACAGGCTGGAACAGAGTGTTTTTCCAGATATTTGGCTTTGTTCTTAATTTAATTACGGATTCACCAAATTTCTGACAGATTTTTAATTTCTGAATAACTCTGCAGTAATTTAAATACCTTTGCCCTCACATAAAGGGCAAATACATTTGAAAGTAATTGACATTTTGACTAAGTTCTAGCACTTATTTTGCTTATAAACATGTAAGCTGTGGTGAAACAAGATCAAATGCAAACTCATCCCATGTGTCAGGTACTCTGTGATAACTGTTCATATGTGTGCTGTTATGCTGAAGTGAAAGCCACCTCATGTAGACAGCTACAGTAAAGCATCTGGCATTCACTGAGTTGATACTGTCTTTGCCCATCTCACCATAAATTGTCCATCTGTTCATAGCTTGAGAAGAAGATACTGGTTTACAATATTTAAGAACCATATACAGTGATATTTCTCTCTCAGACATTCCTAGAAGGTATTTTCTCTCCCTCTTTCAGTCTTTTTGAATTCAGAATTTCTCTTATTCATGTCTAGTGAAATCTTACTCATGTTAAGAAACTGCAGTTAAAAGAATCAGTATAGTGAGTACCAGAGAGGAGAATTTAGCCTTTAAATTGGCTGAAGCATCTGTTATTTAGAATGATTCTCATTCAGTAGCAGGAAAAACCTTTCCTGCCCTTTTCCTCCTCTGGTCCAGATTTTAATGAACAGTTTCGGAGAAATAACCTCTCATTCAATTATATTAATGCATTTTATCACTAATGGGCAAGAATTATGTTACATTTGAACTCCCTCATAACCTGCCTATCCCTTTTGCCTTAATTTGTAAGACATAGATGCTGACCTAATAAGAAAAAAATTATTCACTAGATAACCCCCAAAAAGTTTAGAGTGTTTTTCCCCTTATTACCAGCAATGCCTTAATGAGAATACAGAAGGATATTGTATAGAAGGAAAGTGTGCAAACTCAGTATAATTATTAGATTATTAACCCCATGTGCTGGATCTGGCTACGATAGGCTTAAGTTTTGCAGTAGTCAGAAGGGAGCAGAGCCAGGACCCAGAGGTAGTTCCATACCATGTCACATCATTTTCTGGAGATGGATTCCAGGTTGGGTAGGTGGTGGACAGAGAGGTCAGTTGTTAGTGTTTCCACAGGCAATATCATCACGTGAATCACTTGCTTTTCTTCTTGTACACTCTGCCATTAATATTGCTGCTGTTACTGGTCATTGTCGTGTTTCATTGCTGTTTCCAGACACCCTCATGAGGCACCTTTTGGGCCTCCAATTTTCCTCCCCAGCCTGCCAGAGTGGAGGAGTGAGGGGAAAGTGACTGACCAGTGCATGGTTTGGAGTATTTCAGTGGGAACACTAAATTGAGGAATAGCATTCCTAAATCCCCACAGTCCTCTCTCTGTAAAATCACTTGGTAAATGTGGCAAGGGTATGGTAATATTCCTGAGCAAGTTCCCTTTGACTGTGGTAGGAGCCTGGTCCAGTGCATTTGGGGCCATAAATCCAGAGGAATTGTGACACACTTGAGAACTTGTTTGAACCTCATGAAATTCAACAAGGCCAAGCGCAAGATCCTGCGCATGGACTGGGGCAGTCCCAAGCACAAATATAGACTGGGCAGAGAATGGATCAAGAAAGCCCAAAGGAGAACTATTTGGGGTTGTTGGTGGACAAGAAGTTCAACATGACCCAGCAATGTGCATTCAGAGCCCAGAAATCTAACCATGTTCTGGGCTGCACCAAAAGCAGTTGGGCCAGCAGGGCGAGGGAGGAGATTCTGTCCTACTCTGGTGAGATCCCAGTTGCAGTACTACATTTAGCTCTGGGGACCACAACTTGAGAAGGAAATGAAGAATTCCAGTGAATCTAAAGGAGGCCATGAATATGATCAGAAGGCCGGAGCACCTGTACTATATAGACAAGCTGAGAGGGTTGAGTTTGTTTGGCCTGAAGAAGAGAATTTTTTGGGGACACCCTCTAGCATCCTTCAATAGCTGAAATAGCACACAAGAAAGATGGAGAAGCACTCTTCATGAGAATATATAGTGACTGAACAAGGGGAAAGGGCTTCTAACTGAAAGGGAGTAAATTTAGATTAGATATTAGGAAGAATATTTTACTGTGAGGGTGATGGAACAAGTAGAAGATCTGGAATAAATTGCTCAAAGAAATAGTAGATGATCTACCCCTGGAAGTGTTCAAAGTCAGGTTTGATAGGGCTTTAAGAAGCTTGGTCTTGTTTGATGTGTCCCTGTCCATGCCAGGGTGAGTAAAACTAGATGATCCCTCCTAATTTAAACTATTCTATAAGTCTATGAGAAAAATGGCAATAGAACAGAATAAGCCTGATTCTGTCAGGCTTATGCTTGAGAAGAATATTATCCCAGTCAGAGAGAATCCTTGTTTCTGATTTGAAATAATATGTGAAAAAATAATATTATGCATCAAGAATTTTGATTTATTGCATAAACATGCAAAAATAAAAAAAATTAGACTAATTTCTGGCCCCTCACTTCAAGGAGGACACTGAAGTTCTGGAGTGTGTCCAGAGAAGGGCAATGAAGTTGCTGAAGTATCTGCAGCATAAGACTTATGAGGGGCAGGTAAGGGAACTGGGGTGTTTAGCCTGGAGAAAAGGAGGCTCAGAGAGACTTTATTGCTCCCTACAACTGCCTGGAAGGAGGCTGTAGGCAGGGGAGGGTCGATCTCTTCTCCCAGGCAACCAGTGCCACAACAAGAAGACACAGCCTGAAACTGCATGAGGAGAGATTCAGGTTGGAGATCAGGAGGAATTCTTCACAGGAAGGGTTACTAAGTGCTGAATGGACTTCCCAGGGTGTTGGAGTCACCATTGCTGGAGGTATTCAAAAAACAACTGGAAAAGGCCCTTAGTGCCATGGTCTAGTTGACAGTGAAGTGTTCTGTCTAAGGTTGCATTCAATAATCCTGACTCCTTTTCAAGCATAAATGAGTCTGTGAGTCTGTTATTTTGTGATTCAGAGGACTTTTCAGGATGCTATTATGGAGTTCTGGTTTTACCAGCATTTAGCAGTCCCTAACTCCAGGAAATATCTGAAGTATCTGTAGATATACTTTCATTTACATACCAAAAGTATGTTTCTACATATCTATGCAGGTAAATATTATTCAGCTTGAATATTTTCTTTAAGGAAAATTAATAAAAAGATCAAGTATCAAGCCACGAGGACAACTTCATACTTTGTAGTTTGCCACAAAACATATCTTACCTTTATGTAACCTACTTTTTGGAATTAAAATTTTAACTCCCTTTTCTAATTTGGTGTTCATTCATATCATGCTACTTCTGTTCTTTTTTTCTTATTTTCTAGTGTCTATTGAAGAATATTTACAGAGAAGTTCTGACTTAAAATGGGAATTTTATACCCGCCATTATGACTCAGTCTTGGTTAAAAATGTGTCATTATGTTAGTCTGACTTTTAAAGCTATGGCATTTTCTTGAAGTATTTCTTACCCACAGTGTGAAGCAATGATGTTCTGTAATGGATGGGTAATTTGAACAGGCTGATATTGAGATTTTTGTATACCAAATGTATCTACCTTACATTTCAGTTCTCTATTAGTTCTCTCATAGTAGTTCTCTATTTTATATTATAATTCTACATTGAACTTCTGTGAATTTGGTTTTCACATTTCAGCAATGTACTTATCATAACAAAGGGGCCACTTCTGTTACTGTAATTTACACGGGATTTGACATATTTCTGTAAAGTAGCAAGTGCTAATCCAAACACTGTTATTTCTCAAGGCATTTTTGGTTGGCTAGTTTAACCTGAGATGTCCTCTGAGGAAGCACCCCATGAACTCTCAGTTGGCTAAAAAATACAGCACTCATAAAGGTGACCTCCTGCTCACACTTGGTTACAGGGCAATGGCCAAAAAATTTCTGGAATACTTTTCTCCAGAGAGGCTTTTCTCAAACTGTCTGCCTGATGTATGTGACATGTCACTTATCATTGTTAAGAAAGGGAGGGTTGGTGATGTGCAGCATCCCACATGAATGCTTAAAGCCACTTTATGCATTGGGGTTACACTCTTCTGACAAAATGTCAATGTCTTGTCATGCATATTCAGTGTCACTGAGTTAGTTGCATTTGCTGTTGGAAATGTACTTGTTTGAATCCCAGAAACTAAGAAATAGCATATGTGTCACATGAAGCAGAGAAGACAGAAACAACTTTTAAAAACCTGCAGCCACTGAGCTGAAATGCCTCCAAAGGAAGATTGTATAAGATTTACTGTGTCATGAACTTTGAAGACTAGCAAATTACTGAATCCTATTGTTGACATATAGTGATGTCATTATATAAGAGCATGCAACCTGAGATGTTCCCACTCAAGCTCAACTTTCCTACTCAACTTTTCTGTTTCAGTCCTGCTTCTGGGCCCTGAAGGATCTATAGTCCTGCTCACTGGGCAGACCTAAGATACACAAGACTTAGTAGGCAGTTGGCCCAATTTTGTGTCTGACAGAATCTAATCCAAGTATTTTAAGTTCTTATAGAGTCAGCTAGAGTCAAAGAGAAATGATGTCTCAGGTGAGAGATATCATTTTTTCTCAGCAAGCTGTGCAAGACATGAATTACATCCATAGATGACATACAAGGCTGTATGCAATGTAGTGGGAATAACTGAAGTGAGTAGTGCTCATCTCGCTTGGAAGCTGGTAAAGGCTGTGTAAACCCAGGGCTATCACACTTCACTAGAGTTGATACACTACTTTGACTACTACAAGGAGTTTCAAACTATTTAAGCCCTAGTTCATTTTTATAGAAATATAAAATGGTTTGGGTTGGAAGGAACCTTAAAGATAACCTCCCATGGCAGCAGGGACAGCTTCGACTAGGCCACATAAATCAGTGTCCCATCTGACCTGGCCTTGAACACCTGCACAACTTCTCTAGGCAACCTGTTCACCAACCTCACAGTAAAAATTTCTCCCCATATCTAATCTAAATCTACTTTCCTTCTGTTTGAAGCCATCTCCCCTTGTCCTGTCACTACATGTTCTTGTAAATAGTCTCATTCCATCTACCTTGAAGACTCCTGTCTGATACTGGAAGGCCACAATTAGGTCACACCAAAGCCTTCTCTGCTCCAACCTGAAGAAACCAAATTTGCTTAACTTTTCCTCATAGGAGAAGTGTTCTATCCCTCTAATTATCTTGGTGGCTTCCTCTGGATTTCAACAGGTCCATGCTCTTTCTGTGCTGGGGACCCAAGAGCTGCATGCAGCACTACACCAGCGGGAAAGAATTACCTCCTGTGACCTGCTGGCCACACTGCTTTTGATGCAGCCCAGAAAACAATTGCCTCTCTTGTCTCCAAGAGCATATTCGTGGCTCATGTTCTGCCTCTTCTTCACCAGGACCCCCAAGTCCTTATTGACACGGCTACTCTCAATAGCACTTTTTTCTGGTTGCAATTAAGCCTTTACTTTAAATCAGAACTATACAACTGTGCAAAGTAATAGCTGATGTCTGCTAGTCTGCTATACCCTAGGTGAAATAGCTGCACTTAAAAACTTGTGAATGTTGTCTCTCATAACTTTGTCAGAGAAAATATTACCTCAATACTTCTAGCATTCCTTAGGGAAGCTCTAAAGATAGGAAGCAGTATTATTCAATTATCTGAAACAGTTTTCAAAACTGACTGGAAGATTTTAAAATAGACTATTACATTTCCATGACTCAAATGACTGTTATTAGCTAACAAGTTTTTACATATTTTTATCCCTATTATCCATTATTTACACAGTTAACTTGAACAACTGTTTTATAATGAAAAAGTGGTTTAGTCCATATGCAAAAAGGATAAAAGTAAACTAAGTTTTGTTTGAATTTATTTGATATGAATAAATAAACCTAAGCATAGTTGGTTAATTATAATTACAGTGCCTAAATATGCCTAGTATTTGAGATGTACTATAAATTGTTATTGATTTTTATTTGATAGTTAGTGCTGATATTTCAATATAAGAAAAGAGAGAAAAGTGTAATCAAATAATATGTAGAAGAAGTAAAATGCAATCTGAAATGACTAATTTAAAAAGAAAGAATAAGACAAAAATCAAGAAAAAGTAAACTAATTCCTTTTGACTTTAGAGACTATAAAATACCTCAGCTACAACTTTGTATAGCCTCATATGCACCTGTCACTTGTTCAATCAGGTAAAAAAAATGTTCAGCAGCAAAGGATGCCATTCAATGACATTCAGGAATAACTAACCAAAGAAACAGGGACTTAATTTGTGACACCTTGAACAACAGATTTATTTTCTCAACTGAAACTTAGGTTAAGGTTCAGTTCAACTTGGGATTGTTACCTTTTTCCTTAGGATTATTTGAAGCCTTAATTTCTTTTCGTTTTGAAGAGTCTGAAAGAGAAATCAAACACAAAAATAAAAGGAGAAAATCAGCAACATAAATATACACTGTGCTCCTTGGTACTGTAACAAATGTTCATAACACCAGATCAGCCAAGAGATGTGTTAAGAATTAGAACTTCTATTTAATTCAATAAAAGGCACAAACTAAAGTTGAAAGCAAACCAAAAATAAGTCCCATTAAATTTGCTGGCAAAGTTTCTGCGGGTTGAACCATACACTCATTCCTGTGCAGCCTATCATTTCAGCATTCAGCAGCAGCTCTGTTATAATTCACTCAGAACACACTAGCACTCCCACTGCTGTGTTGGCTGTGCAGGTCAGACAGCAGTTAAAGAACACCACAATAAGAAGTGTTATGACTTTATTATTTCTGAATCATAGCAGACACTGCTCCTTTCAATATATCAGATCTTTTAAATGAGAAGAATCTAAGCTTGGTCCCTTTTTGCCAACAGCCTGTAATTCAAAATATATCAAAACTGCACTGAGATACCAGCAGAAAACTTGTTATTTGCCAGCCACATAATTATAAGACATTACCTTTCTCCTTTAAGGCTGTTGGAGGCTTCACATCTTTTCTTTTTCCAGTCTCTAGAAAGAAACATTTAACATTTATCACAAGTCAGGTTAGGGAAATAAGATGACACTTGAATAGATAGCAAGTCAAAAAATGTGATATGTGGAGAGCAAAAGAGAAGTGATAATTAAATAGATTTAACAGCATGGAAATAAAGAACAGGACAGAAAAAACAAGGTCATCCATTCATCTTTCTAGTCTTGGATATGCAAAATAATTCATCTTTCTAGTCTTGGATATGCAAAATAATAAGCCTTCAAAATGTCATTAGGTTCTCTGAATTTTAAGGAAACTCTGGAGCCCTCTCTCAAGCAGGCAATGAAGAATTACTTAAAAAGAAGAAAGAAATTCTACAGAGCAGTTGGCATCAATGATTTTTTCTTTTGCTGAACCCAAATAAAAACTAAACCACATTGATATAATTGAAATATTAGGAATACTTCTCTTGAAAGCCAGAGGCTGCTGACAAAGGTAAGTGGGAGATTTTTTATTCAGGAGTGACAAAAGGACCAGCTACTCATTCAGGACGCCAATACTCTTTTAATATTGAAGAGGCCATATGGGTATTGCCTGTGAACAGAATTTCACTTCCTATGCATATATAGCCTTTTAAAATGACAGGCATACTGGCTATAAAAGAAGAGCAGTTCTCATCCTTCAAATGTACATTAACATATTTTATGTCAAAATGAATAGTCCAGGGACTTAATTGTATCTTCAATTTTTTTTTCTTCAGTATATGACAAAGTGTTAAAGGAGATGAAAAAAAAATCAAACCTGAAATTCTAGTTCTCCCTTTCTAGTAACTGACAAGGCAGAACTCAGGGACAAAAAAAAAACAAACCAAGCAACCAACCAAATCCCCCAAAAGCCCCCCAAAAATTCAGTAGTTAGGTAATCACAAATAAAGGACAACTATGATCTTCTTTTGGTGTCCAGGTGAGACACAGGGACTGATAGCAGTGGCATAAAGGAGAATTCTCAGCCACAAGGGACGTCCTGGCTTCATTTCCTACAATTTTTACAAGGAACAATACATTCCTTGCAGAAGTGTGTCATTTTGTTCTATATCTATTCAGCAGTCATAGTCTGGACTGCATCCAGTATCTCCAGTTTCCAAAAATAATGGGACTTTGTAACATTTTAGACTTCAGATGTGCTGCTCCAGCTCAGGAACCAGGCACAGTACGGACAGCCTTTGCTGTTTAATTTAATTTTTTCAGCTGTTTCAGTGCTCTACAGAAAGAGAGTGTTCCATACACATCACATTGCAACAAATAAGGTGTGCTCCGAATAGATGCTATCAAGCAACCCATGACCCCTGTGTGAACAGTTAGCAGTGGTCTTGCAACTGAAAGGATTAGACACAGAGATGTATGTGCCCACATAGCCAACAAATTAAGAAAAGAAATTTGTCCTATCAGTCACCCTCAAACATCTGGATGCATCAGTAGCCTCAGCCAGTTTAATTCTCAGACACCCACATTCCTGAGCTGTAGCCACATGGACCAGATTTAGTCTAGTTCCCTTCAGTAATGTTCCCACTGTGGGATTTAAACAACTCATTTTTGACAGTCCAACATCCAAAAATGGTATAAAACCAAATTTTAGTATTTTCCCCAAGACATAAATTCAAATATTCACATTTAAAAGAAGACCAGATGATTTCTAGGGATCCTACTGGGATCTGTACAGCATAAATATTATTAAAAACAATATCATGTTTAAAATAATCTAAACAGGAACAAGGATGGGTTTGGTTTTCCACACTTCTATATACCTACTCAAGAGCTCTTTCTTGACTGACTAACTGTTGTGATATTCAGGTCTGGATTTCTTAACTTCTTCACTTACCTTTTTCTCTTATGCTCTCTGGATTTTTGAGATTTTTCACTTTCAGGGAATCTGTAGGAAGATAATTATGTTTCTGAGACTTAGAAGGCAGGGGTACCCTTCTACATTTAAAAGACAAGTCAAGAAATATTTAGAAACTAAGACCAAAATTGTGAACATAAATAGATGCAAGCTTGATCTCTCTTTATATACTCTCAAGAGACTGTCTCATATTTTTAAGGTGCAATAAAGTTAGTAGCAAAAGCAAGAACAGAAATTGTTTTTGGTGACTGTTTGTAGAGACCACATAGAAGAGAGAAATTCAAAAGACAAGGAAAATGAGCAAGCAATGACGCAGGATTAGGAATTCTTTGGGTCTTATGCAAAACTTAATGAAGACAGTTTCTGCTTTCTTCCTCTGAAGAATTTATCTTTACCTCAGTCCTTCAGGGAATATGCATTCACGGCCAGCAAGCACAGGAAAAGCATACACTATGTTGTGTAAACAACTAATGTTTAAATATTCTTTTTTTCAAGCAACAGTTGCTTGACATCCTAAGTGTATTTATCAAGGAAATTAGGAGAAAATAGTTTTTTCCAAAGTGAAGAAATAATTTGATAGGCTTTTGAGTGTATGCTATTTGAGTGAGAGAATATCACAGCCTGCAGAATGCTAAATAGACCCAACTGCATTCCATCTGACAGGATATAGCACCTAAGCATATAGAAAAAACCTATGTCATTTATTCCAAATGAAAGTAAACTAAATCTTCAGCAAAACAGAAAAAGCTAAAAGAAGATTCTTTAAAAAAATAATTTTATCTCTGAACATCCTCCTGGCTACCATGGTACCAGGAAGTAATCCCACTTATCCATCTGGATTTAAGTGTGAGTTGTAACAAAAAAAAACAGCTTTGACTTCTCCACCAGCTTCAGCCCCCACTTCCAGGGTGGCTAAAGCTGGTAGAGAAACCACATTGCACAGGGATAGGTTATGAAATTAGGAGCCTGATCTTCGCAGCAGCAGGTGGATTCTTCTTCAGGGGACTGAGAGAAAACTTCCAGTGTGAAGCCTGAAACCCTTTGAAGTAGCCTCTATATTGAATATATGAAAAGGCTTGAGGGAACAGCTGCCTCATTCTGGGCACACTGGTGATCTCAGTGATCAGCAGCCACCCTTGCAGCCACAGCACAAATCTTTGGCCTTGTGGGTTTTGTGCCACATACCCATGGTGGTTTTGTTGCCATCCATGTAGTAGATCTCCCTTAGATTTCCTATAATATGTAGCTCCTAAAGAAGGTTCAGCACTTTTGAGCCTTACAATTTTTGGATACAGCTCTCAGTGCTGGACACGTTACATGCTGCACCAAGTTCCCCACCCTTTGAGCAAAGGATATTGAGATCACCAGTTCTGCTTTTCTTCCAGGGAGCAGGTTTTCATTTTCAGAAGTTTAAACATGTACTTACTGAGGACTTATCAAACTTCTGCTCTGAAATGACCACTTTATTGCTGATCCCAGCAGGGGAAAAACATAAAGCTGGCTTAAAGTCAGCTTTCACCATAATGATTTCCTCCCACATTCTACTCCGGGGGTGAAGCTGGGTCAGGTTAGGAAGATGGTATAGAATGATGAAGCAGCAGCAGTGTGTGATATCCTCAGGATAAAGATATAGTTCTCATGCAAATGACAATGACAGATAAATAAATAGAAATAGACAGAAATGTGAACTGCTACTGTTCACATATAACTCCATTTTTAAGGGGAAAAAAATATTACAAGTTAAGAAAAAGAATGCCACAGGCAAGATATTATTTCATGTTACATATGCTTTAAAGGAAGTGTAAGTATTGCATAGCAAGTACAAATCAGCTCATTTGTTTCTTTAATGACAGTATACTATAACATATATGGCAAGAAAGAAATACACACTATTGAATTATTTCCCCTATCAATCTGTGTGAGAAAATAAATAGGTTTATTATCCACACATAGCTGACATAAGAAAATATTCAAAGATATCCCAAAACATGTCAAAAGTAAGGAAGAAGAAAAAAGAGCATTTGCTTGGAAAATAAATCACAGAACACAGGGTGAGAAGGAATTTACGTTACATATACAGGATAGATGCTGTCAATAACTCAGCACAATGCAAATATCTTAGAAAAAAACAATGAAGTGTTGTATATTAAATATTACAAACTTTTAGTGCCACTGTTACACCCTCTGAATGAATGAACTTCTACTCTGGTTATCTGGGTAACATACCTACCAAAAACCACCTGGCAAATTATAACTCAGAGTTTTATTGGCCTCAAGTTATTTGAATATGCTTATGTCAACAGAAAATCAGTTTCTATATTTGTGAGTATAAATAGTCTTCTTTACTCTTTACTGCAGGGAAGAGCTGAAAAGCTAGTTATAAATTCAGACAGAGTCCTGAGATGTCCTGTATCACTAAGAAGTGGAAAATGTACTATTCCACGGTCCTCTTTAACTACTCTCAATAAAATTAGGCTCCAGGACTGAAGACATTTTATTCACCTTATAAAATAAATAAAGTAACTTTGTAGGGTTATGATCTATAAAGTATCCCAGCAACAACTCCAAATTCAGGGATTTAATTTTCCTCTTTGTGCTTTAAATAAAACCACTATGCTTCAGTTTATGAAATATAGCCTGCTTTAGGATAAGCTTTTTGGTCTGGACATCATCTGTGTTCATTCAAACTGAGCCCATCCTTCAAAGGGAATGAGGTGTGATGATAGCTCCTTTATTGCATAAGGTGCCAGACACATTAATCACCAGAGTATTTAACACTTCAAGGAGAAGTGTTCCTTTATTTTGTTTACATGAATAGTAACAAACTTCCAAGATACATAAATAGGAAGTACATGCAGTCTTAAAAATCTTTCATTTCCTGTGTCCTTTGATACATTTGTATTTTCCAGAAAGATCCACTTTAAGAAAAAAATTGCAAAACACCAAGTCCCAAAGGGTAAGGAAAAGTCCCCAGTGACCTGGTCAATAACATTTACAGAGGCCCACTCATGAGGCTTGAAGACGTGTTGCAGAGGGGAAGGAATGGCACGCAAATAGGCTTTGATTAATTTATGAACCACAGTTTGGGCAGATATGATGACTGAAATAGGGAACAAATAATGTGAAATATATGTTTATGCAGTAGAGTGATCCGTAATGCAATAAGGAAATACACAACTAAGAAAGGCACCAAGGTTTCTAGAAGTTTCTCCCCACAGCTTTATAAGTTGCCCTTATAGTTTTGATGCTGATATATTTTCAACTGAGCTCTACAGCTCACTAATCAGCATCCTTGTTTTTAGGCACAGGCACAGAATTTTGCCAGTTTGATGCCTATTATGGGAAACAGTGATGGCTGCATCAGCAAGAGCTCTCAGGATCTGAAGGACAGGCTCAGCTGGACTGGATATCAGTGCTTCTGCAGGGGGTCAGGAGCCTGTGATGTCTTTGCAGATACATTCAGCAGCAAGTTTTCAGCTGTATTGACATTTAAAAGAAATTCCTACCTGCTCTTTTCTGAAGGCTGGGCGGAGAAAATCTTGCCTCCTTTGTCACGTTAGAAGGACCTGTAATGACTAATTACTAATTACTTAGTAATTGAAGTTGCTGATAAGTTAAACAGGAGCATAGGAGACAAAAAAGCAGTGTCCACTCTCAACAAAGGACACACTATGGAAATTTTTTCAGTGCTGGCAAACCACTATCCATTTGCTCTAAAGAAACTCTTATCAAAGAGAAAAAAGTTTTGGGTCTTCTCTTTTTTTCCTCCTCTCCCTGCCTCCCTGTAATCCTTTGAAAGGAGCAGCAGGCTGAATACACATGCTCCATGTAGGGATAGAGGGGGAAGAGTTGTCACTCAAGTGCTTCTTTTACTTTTCCATCACAACACCATCAGGCAGACACAAATTATAGGCAGTCTTTGGGGAGGGCCATAGGACTCCATAGAGTTTGGATATACAGTTCTGGTGCAGAAAACTAAGCTTGTTTAAATGGGACATGCGTACATCAGGAGTAGAACACACACAAATTAACAATATATGCACCAAGAGAATTTGCAGATTGCCATAATTTAATTCAAATTTTTGAACAAAGAATTAACTGAATGAACATAGCTTCTAGGATTTTGAAAATATATCTAGCAATAAATTATTCCTCCTTTGCTGTATATGTTTTTGTCATCTTTTTGCTTGAATTGATCTCCTTCAGTTCCTTCTTTGAAATCACATGCAATGACTATAACTTGAAATAGCTATAGATTAAAGTCTATATATTGCAGACCATACCTATCTATATATAGTTATAGGCTTATAATAGTTATAGACTATAACTTAAAACAAATATTAACTTGACTAAAAATATGGTAAATCTTTTTATTCTGAAGATGTCAAATAAGACTTATCCATAAGTAACTGCTTCCAAATAAAGTTACTTCTAGAAAGAAGGGAAGAAATAAAACGTGTAAAAACCACCCAATAAAACAGTTGATGAAAGGAAATTTAACTGCATTAACCATCTACTCTGATCAAATTGCAAAAAAAAAAAAAAAAGATAAGGAATACAAGAAAGATTCAGACCAGCTCTCATGTTGCAGATGGTTGACTGGAAGAAGCTCTGGGGTTTTAGCTGTAACTTTTACAGAGTATCGAAGACATGTTTCCCACTCATGTGCTCGTAAACCTTACTTTCTTCTTACTTAGTTCACACATTTGTGATTCAGTTCAGAATTTCTTAACTGGCCCCTATTAAAGACTTAGCATTGTTCAGACCTTCTTTACAAGGTACTTAACTATTACACAGAGTTATTAATGATATTTATTTAATTAATTTTGAGAACTCTGAATTTTAAGTGTTTTGATATATCCTATTTATATTCCCCCACCTTTTTAATGCTGTAATACTGTAGAATATTTTAACTAGTTAAATTATCATTGGTTAAAATCTATAATGAGAAAAACTTCTAATGATTGTTTAAAAAATTAGCATCTTCATTCTACTTCGTGTGGTCTTAGCATAGCCTGTATTTTATTATGTATTCTTACCTTTTTCTCTTAAAGATGTAGGATTCTTCCCTTCCTTTACTTTAGCAAGTTCTGTAAAAAAAATTTATTAATTTTCAAGCTAGAGTGTTAAATGGTTAACATCAAATGCCGCTAGGATAATGATTGATTGAATAATCAGTGGTTTCTAAATGATACCAACTGAACAAGATGCCAGTTAAATGTGTAGCACAAAATTAATTTTCATCAGTTTTAGCATGCTCACAAAGTGAAACCACAAATGTTCTTAAATTTGAAGAAAGAACAAAGATCACTCAAAACTTATTTCACTTTGCAGCTCTTAATAACTGTTATCAAGTGTTCCTAAATTCTAGGTTTAACCTACTAAATTTTTTTCATAACTAGTGTAAACAGTGCACTCTTTGCACTTCTAATTCAGGTAATTCCAATTAAGTTTCACAGTAAATTTACTGAAATAGTATAATGGTTACAAAGTCCTTATTAAACCATACTTTAAAAACCAAAATGGCAATGCATTCCAAAGGTTTTGTTTTTTTGGATGCACATAGATCTTAGTTATATACAAATTTGTCGTGCCATGTTACCTTTATTTTTCGTGGCAGCTGGAGATTTCAATTCTTTATCTTTCCCAGGATCTGTAAAAGAATTAGTCACACCAATAAAGTGACAGTCAGAAACCACAACTGAGTGAGCAATGAGATTTAACCAGAGGAGAGAATGAAGCATATAGATTGTGCAAGAGACTAAAACTATATATTAGAAGATATGGTAATAATTGTGTTATTGGAAGATTTGTAAGAAATTCACCAGGTATCATCCAGAAGGTTCAGTCCACAAAGTGTGTTTTATTGATCAACTATTATAGATTTAATAATAAAATTTGCAAACTTCAGCTTAGTATGAGACAAGGACAGTTTTTCAGTGCTCTTTACCAGAAAGGTCAAAATTGATGCTTTGTCAAATTTGTCTCATTGGAGCTGACTGGGATTGCCCATTCTTGCTGAGCAAGGCCAAGGGTCTTCTTCTTACAAAAAGATCAGAGACTTGGATTTTGACTTCCTGCATTTAAAGTAATGTAACTGCTGGTTATACTGTTTTATACATGTCATCTGAGAAATTCTGATAGGTGGTTTCTGGGAAAACTAAAAATACTAGGTTCTCCATCACATATGAAACAAAAGTTCCTTCTATTGAAACACTCAGCAGCAATTCAGTGCCAGGATATATGAAACAAAACTGTTAGAAGACCCTCTTGTTTTCTACACATAAGATATTAAGTCAAGACTCTTGATGAGGAGGAGTTTGTGTTTAGGAGATGGAGATTGTGTTTAGTAGATAGATATGAAAATTGTATAAGCTACAGTAGGTAGTTTTAGTGGAAATTGTTTACTGCCTTAATGACACACAGTTCACAAATTGTCTCTTTTATTATAAAAGCATAGACTGTGTAGCAGTCTAAATAGCAATTTATCATGATATCAATAAAGCTTCTTGTTCATGGCTTAGTATTTGTCTCTGACCAAGACAAACTGAGGTGCTGGGGAATCTGAATTGAAGGAATCCATAAATAATAAGTTTTTATTTATGGTAGTAATAACCATCAAGTGGAAAAACCTAATTTGCTGTTGACATTGAAAGACCTCTTCTGTTGGGACTGATGTCAAGAGATAAATTTTTCATTATTTTTCTCCTTCTACATTGTGTTTCTAAAAAGGAAATACTAGATACTTCCATACAATGTAATTTTTAAAAGAGAAGACTTGGGACAAAAATCTGTTGAACAAGGTCAAAAATGCAATTTTAGTGAAATAAAGTTGTCTCTTCTGTTCCTCATTACACTTTAGACTGACTGCTTCAGAAACTACTCCTGGTCTCCTGCTTTGACCTTCATGTTTTGTGCTCACCAATTTATTATTCAGTCCCTTATTTTCAGTATGAAAAAATACACAATTCACTGCAGATATCTGTAGCCATATTTGGCGGACATATTCAGAAATATTCATAGTCCTAATAAAAAAAAATTCCAATTTTTAAATATTAAGTTAATCACAGAAGACTCTGCAAAGAGAAACAAAATTCAGTGGAAAGACTGAAAAACATTTTCTTCTGTGCTTGTGCATAATGAAAAATTCCCACAAGGTTTCATGTTCAGTGCAATAGTGTCTACAAAAAAAAGAAGACAGCTGAAGACAGAGCTCCAGCCAAAATAAGTAATTTAAAGCATAACATAAAGGCTCTACTTTCAGAAGCCCATCAGTGAGAAATTAAAGCTCTTGTACAGCTCCATTATTAAGAGCACAGTTACCCAAACTCTTGTGGAAGGTGTTACTTTCATAAGTGAAACTATAGCTTACTTCCTTGTTTCATCTTTGGTTTATCTGGAGAAAGAGAGGGAAAGGGAAACAAAAGTGAAAAGAGAAAAGAAAAAGGAAATGTTAGAATACATGTTCATATGGGAAATTTTTAAATTATAATCAACTAATGAAAATGTTTTTAAATGCGTGTTGACCCTAAGTGCTTTAATTTATCTTGAACCTCCACTGTGTCTTGACAGAATATGTGAATAAAGGTCATGATTCCCACCTATTGCCTTTCATACATGCACAAAGAACATGACACCCCCTAGTCTGATATGATCTTTTTTAACTGATGGCAAGTCTACTTTCTTAGTACTATTGGATACCACCAGAAAAAAAAAAAAAAACAAAAAACCAACCCTTTTTATCTTTTCTTTTAAATATTTATTCTCAGTAGCAGGCATTAACTTGCTGGAAACCATCTGATATTTGCTCATGACATTTTTCAAACAAATAGGTCAAATGATTAAAGTTAAGTGGCTTCTTGCTAATCTTCTAACAGTTAAAAATATCACCTGTAGTTTGGCTTTACAACTAATAGAAGACCACTGAACTGAGATGTTGCTACATTCTTTCAGCCCATTTCCCTCCATCCCGTGGGGGCTTGAGTTCAAAGCTGAAATAATCACTAAAACCTTTGTTTGAAACAATGAAGTTGTGTCCTGATTGCTAAGCACATCCAGCCTACAAGACTCCAGATTTTCCTGCAAGTCTTCTTATACTGTTTTTTATAGACTGCAAGTCCCAGTTTTGACCAGGACTGAATCCCTCTACTTTCTGATGTGTGTTCTGATGCAAATTCTTTGAATAATATAAGTACATAGTAATATTAAAAAAGCATCCAGAAAAGTTTTTTTTTTTTTTTGGCTTGTTTGTCTTTGGGTGATCAATGTGTTGGCAGGAGCTCCATACATATAAGGTGCAGAAATGAGAAGCAGAGGGAATTGCTATGTAAAAGTGTTTGTGCTCACTTCTGTGCATCAGGGACTGAGCTGCTGCCAGCACTGGGAAGTTGTTGCAGTGGGCTGGAAGTAGCTGCAGAAATAGTTGTGACAGACATTACATTTTGCTCTTATTCCTTTGACTTGGAGATACCAGATAGTGCTGGCATGGGGAGACAGTGTTGCTGCTGCTGCTGCTGACTGCTGTCATGGGAAACAGTTTGCTCCCCTTTTGAGTTCCTTGGGTATCACAACCCATGTTTTAGAAAACCCTGCTCCATGCCAGCCATGTGTATCTATAGCTTGTACTGTTCAGTCTGTGCTCTTTATGGCACAGTTAAAATGTTTGGCAGAAAAAATCCCAGCTAGTGGTGGTACATTGTAGAAAGGATAAATCTTACAGCAACCACACACCTCATTGCTGCCTGAGACAGACAAAAAGAGGGGAAGAAGCGTAGACGTCTGAAGAAGGTCTTGCGTGGCAATAGAAAATAATGTGAAGATACCCAGCCTAACAATGCCTCAAATCTAGGCCAAGGCCCACCTAATTATAACATTTTCCATGACAACTACCAAGCAGCTGACAGCTGCTGCAGGGTGTCTGTGCTGGCTTGAGTAATTCTGTGGGAAGCTGAAGCTGAGAAACTGAAGAAAAGGAAGGGATAATAGCTTGACTGACCAAAGCTACACCAGTAAACTTGTCTTACACCTTGTACTAAGGGTTACTGGCAAATTCATCATCAGGGCTCTAGCTGCCAATTTGAGCATGACTAAGTATAAAAATCACCTCAATCACATAAAAGAAGCCTGAGCTTATAAGCTTTGGGGATTTAGATACCCTTTTTATTGCTTTGCTTCTTACCATACTAACCTAAAAAAGAATGGATTACGTTTAACAAGTGTACAAGAAGCAAGTATGTTGGATATAAGGCTGAAGGTAATAATAATAATTACAATAATAAATAATAGAAATGTATATAATAAGAAAAGACACATCTTTAGATGGTTTAAGGTATCAATCCTTCCCTTTTTGGGTTCACTTGAGTTGGTGGCTTGAGTTTTATTTTGGCCTTTGTGTAGACCATTCCTTGGTATTCCTGCTGTTGCTGGCTTGGGACACTGGATACAAACTTTGTGTCCCTCTGAACTATGTGCCATCAGCGCCTGGTTCTTGCAGCCTTTCTTCTGGTGTTCCCACTCAGACATTCCCATTCATGCCTTATCCATACCAATCCTAAGATTTGTGTGAAAAATTTCTACAAGGTCTGGTCTCAAAAGTTTTTGAGATTCTCTGCAGGAGACCTTTGTGACTCTTCATGGGGCTGATGTTTCATCTGGAGCAAGAAGGGTGGCTCAGCTGACTTCGGAGAGCCCCTTTACCTCATTGGAAGTTACTCTCTCAGACTGAGTAGCAAAGGCTGATCCCTGTCCAAGCTACAGGGGCAGGAAGTCTCTTGCAAGATCAGTGGGACACTAAGTCCCAGCACAGAACCTTTCATCTGAAGCGGGCAGCCATCTACCTGAAGCTTTTGGCTGGGGTGGTAGTTTTGTGGGACAAAGCCAGTTTTATAATAAAAATTCTGACAAATGCAGCAGAACTCTGAATAAATGCTGGTGAACCAACGGATTTAAAGGTTGCTGTCATCCAGCTCTCTGAATCTGATGTTACTGTTTCTGTGCCATTGTGTTTTAAGAGAGATAACGCCAACACATTTTGCTCTCTTTTTACCTTGCACTGCTGCTTTAGTTGTTTTTCCTTCTTTTTTCTCAAGTCCTGCTGCAAATAAAAGATACATTTTAAGTAAGATTTCTAATCAGAGCTGTTGCTACATCAGACAAAGCTCTTCTTAAATGCTTACGCATTATTTTGAGTCAAAATATTTCAAAGATTTCCAATAATGAGATTCCCCCCAAGATATGAGCACATGATAGATATTTCTTATTTGTCTGAAACAAGAGTGATTTGTTTTTTTTATTTTCTTTCCAAAAATAATAGGTCTGATCAAGCAGAAGTTGTGGCTCTCCAGTGCTGGGGGCTTGGAACTAGATGGTTTTTAAGGTTCCTTCCAATCCAAACCATGACACGATTCTGTGATGTCAGGTGAAATAGGGACTAAACTGCAGCACATATTTTGTAACAGAGAAGAGACCAAAGCACCTCCACCCCCAAGCAAGCATGGCTTTCTGTTTGCACCAGCAGAAACCTCCACTCTGCACCTCTGACACAGCAAAACTTTGCCCCATATTCTCAGCTTTAAGGACGTGGTTAAGCTCAGTGAAGGTGGCAGGCCACACGTGGGCTGTATGTTATGGCATCTGACTTGATCCTTTGGAATACTGAGATTTCTGTGGGCAAGCAAGAAGTGTGAACCAGACCACTTGGGCAGCAGGGCTGCTTAACCTTTACTGACAACAGGGGAAGCAGCTGTAACAGCCCAGGTCATGATGCATGGATATATCCAATTGCTTATTCACAAGCTTGGCAAGCACAGTTTGTAAATTCATTTACACATATTGGGAGACAATGGATATTAAGGATGAAACTATCTAAGAAGAGATGGTACAAGAAGGGGTATCATTAGACTTTGTTCACATAAATATGGATATCTTTAATAGTTTCTAACAGTTTACACTGCAGGTTTGGTGATGTACATTATATCTTTAGGACAACATATATATTTATTATGTAATTGAATTATTTGGGGTTAAGATTGTAAATTTATAAATATACATGTTCAGCTGTAAAGGACACTTGAAACACTTCACTTCTCTGAAACAAAGTTTCTGCAGCCACAATTTATAACTATTATGCTAAATAAAATCCTTGTTTAATTTAAAAGTCTTACAGTGTTTGAGAGTATTAAGAAAATATGCTTCACTGTCATTGTTGGAAATTAGTGTAAAGAACAAACCATCAGAAACAGTGGCAGGATGTAAAGGGGAGAGTGAAAATTAATTTACATCTGATTAAGCAGATGGCTTTTAAAGAAAAGGTAAGTTCTGAGGGTCATGTTCTGTTATCACTATTTATGCTGAGAAAGGCAGGGAATTCAAAGGACCTATGAAGTTCCTCCATGTGTGCTCACTGCTTCCCTGCTGCCTGGACTGCAAGTCTGGCCTGAGGGGAACCACCAGGACATCCTTTCAAGAGCATTCTGGAGCTGCTGGGCATGTTGGCTCGAGCAGATCAGCTCAGTTAAGAAGCTATGACCTGTCTGCAATGTCTGCTAGTGGGCTGGGGGCCAAAGGAATGGTATTCTGATCCCAGATTCCCTGAACCTGAGATTCAGTGAAAAGTCAGGTATCGATAGATGAACTGTTTCATCTTGAGTTGGATGAACCCACTCACAGGCATCAATTACTCCCTTGTGATGTGAGCATGTGTTTGTGAGCAAGCTCCATGTAAACAGTGCAATATTGCACTTCCACACCTCGGTTACCTCAGGGAACTCATTTTATTGAAGATAATCTTCAATTCTCCTGAAAATAAAATCTAGGTTTAAAAGATGTCTGACTTGATCCTCAAAACAAAAAAGGGAGTATTCTATTTCTATTCAATTACCTAAATTTTATTGGTGTTCATGGACACAGAGAAAGCCGAAAAGAACCAAAGATCCTTAATATATATTATAGACCTCTGCTATTATCATCCATATTACCTGGGCCTAGATCAGCAGTATTACTTATACTAACCATGAACTAGACTCTGACAAGCCAAGATGAATCTGAGCACTGAGCCCTGCCACTAAGCAAATCAATATCATGGTGCTTCTAAAATGCTTACTGAAGTGGCCAGTATCTTGAAGAAAAAGTCTATTTGAATATGGAAAGAAACATATGAAAAGGGGCACCAGAAACCTGTCCCATACTCATTTCAAAATATATTTTTAGCATTAAAACTGCAAAAGCAGCTATAACAAGAGTTAAATGGGCTATTGAGAACTATTGTTTTCCTTGAAGCAGTTTTATCCTTTTTAGCTGAAATGAAAGCAGTTTTGGGTTGTAAAATTTCTGTAAAATTTTTTACCTGCTCACATCACATAAATACTTTAATTCCATTTTAATGGAATAAAAGTATTTTTTTTCTGGATACCAAACTGCATGCAACTTTCTGAGAAAATAAGGTGTTCAGTCATTAAATGAAAGTGGTGATGGTAGACCACGAGTGTGGTTATTGTGAAGGAACCATCCATCCTTGAGAAACATAGAGGCTGATCTAACAGCCAGTTATATTAACAGTATTCTGGTTAGCAGTGCATTCAGTAATGCAACACCACTTCCATGGGGGAGTGAGTGCTTGTAAAGGAGAATTAGCTCCGACAAAACAGAGCTCCAGTAACTTTTGGGAACTGCCAAGTAACATCATCTAGACATGGCAGAGCAGTATCTGGGACGACAAACAGGACATTCTGTTATTCCCTTTGCTTTTTCAGAAGAGAAACACGAGCTACTTTGGTGATGCTGAGAGGTCTTTTGTCATCAAGGTAAGAGTTGTCACTTTGAAAGTCTCCATAAACAGGAAGCCCATTCATGTAGAGTCAGTGCTTGGAATAAGATTCAGGTCTGGTTTTCTCTGTTTCTATCAGAACAGAGACAAGTTTTCTGAGTAGGTCAAGATGCCATCCCTTCCACTGGGCATTTTTAAAGTTCTTGTCACATCTGAATGGCAGCCTGAAAGATGATCTCTTTGTGAAAAATTATTCTGTTCCAACTATTCCCTATTTGAAAAGCTGATCTTTTAGCCATATGACTTAGGTAATATTATGATTTTCTCCTCTGTAGAATGGCAGACATTAAAAAAAAATCATGAAATACAACCCCCCCATCCCAAACCAAACTCACAAAAACTCCTGCATGAAACAACACAAAATAAAATGAAGGTAAAATCAGGAATTCATCAGGGATCTATATTTTCAGTAAAACATAGTTTCAAAAAATAGATTAAATAAATAGAGTAATACTCCCACATATATTTTGTCATTTCTCAGCAAAATTCTTGACAATGTGGCATAATATAGATCAAATGGGAAATTTACTTTATAATTGTTTCTCTGATTCCCTCATAAGCTCTTAGGAAACAAATGAGTGACAATTCAGCAAATATTGTTTTATGCTGAGAGTGGCCAGGAGAGCAATTCATCAGTCAAATATTTGTGCAGTCTCAATAGTTGTAGGCTATAATCAAATTTGTCAGAATTTTTTTATCCCAAAAGAGACAGGTTGCATAACTAGCATCCACATCAAAAATATGCATTCTAAAATGTCACTGATTTTAAAGCTATTTTGAGATATTTGCTCAGTGTGATGGAAGACTGAAAGAAATCATTCCCACTGGAAACAAAAAACATTTCACTCACTGAACCCCGAGGCCAGAGGCTCCTCATTGTAGCATCACAAAAATCAATAAATCATTAACCTAAGAAGTGTATGTTATGGTTTAGGAACTGTTCTGTTATATGGAGAAATAAAAAAAATTCATGCTATAGTAGCTTGTGAGAAAATGCAAGAAACATCCATGTGAGTTTGATAGTTCATAAAAGGTAAAAGTCGATGGCCCAGAACTCCTTTTATGCCAGCAGATTAATTTTGTTTAATTAAAAAAGAAGAGAATTTCATCAAAAGCCTGGCTTTTTTTTCAGAACAGTATTGTTTGCTTTCCAAGAATATGCTTAAAAAAATTTACATTTGCCAACACCTACTGAATATTGAAAATTACATTGTGTCCAGAGAGCTGCTAAGTCTCTAAGGACTAACAGCAGAAAAATGAGAAACAAACAAAATAGCAACCATGTAGAACAAAGAATTTGATATCTATGACTTCCTTCAGACTTAAAGAAAGGTTCAACACGACTAAATTATTACAATTAAACACTACCAGAATTTGTCTGCATCACAAAAGAATATAGAAGAAAATAACAGCATTCCTTTGTGATTCTTACTAAGTAGCAAAAGGAACAGCTGTAACATTTTCATATAAATATGATTTTCCCCCTGGAGTACAGGCTGTGTTTGAGTTTCAAAATTAGTAACATAAAGTTAAATTTAGATGACATCCTAACAAGAAATTTTAAGAAATCAACAATTTCCCCAGAGCTAAAATCAGCTCATTTTTATTTAATGCAGAATAAAACAAAGTTGTCTTAGACAACTTAGACACTGGGGAACAATTTCAAGTTCAGTATTAGGTTGATCTTATGGTAAAACTGAGATGGCTGGGGCCAACACTTTCAGTTGTGAGACTGTTCTTTTGACAACAGAAATAACAGAATTATTCCTATATTATATAATGGAAACCCACTGTTCCTACTTATCCTTAATTAAATGAACTTCCTAAAACTTTTTCTTTCCCCTCATTTGTCTGAAAGGGAATGCTTATAAAAGTATGGTGGTCATTGACATTAATAAACATGGACTAAGAGTGAAGGGCAGTTTTCAACATGACATTCCACTTTCTGTTTTTGTTTAAGTTACAACTGAGATCATTAATGTTCTTGAGGGCAATTTGGAGCTAGTAACTTACACTGTGCAAATGTAAAAACTAGACACTGATATAAAACAATTAAATATTTGCTATATTTGCTCAGCTTGAGCTTACATCCTTGATGTTTCTCACCAGTCCCAGTTCCCTGTGCCTTGTGGAAAGGAGGAACCTTTGCAGCAAGCATTGATGCTCTCACACATCCTACCTCCTACCAACAGTTCATGTATGAAAAGCAGGCAAAACCTGTTACACCAAACTTCCCTGCCAAATCCCCTAGACTCCTTAAAGACAGCAACTGTTCAGTCACTGGGTTTGTCCTGCAGTTAGAATTGCAAAAAGAGAAATATTACTTTGTGTCATGTCTCTGTTGAAGATTGGTTACTTCTGCTTTCTGCCTGTCACAAAAGCCTTATGGCTTGAGTTAGGGTTAGAAACTGAATTTCAGATTGCTGGAGAATTGTTAGATTGTTAGTCCATGAAAAATTTGAGGAAACAATGCCTGCTTTGAGACGCTACAATGAAGACACCATTATAATTTAAAAGGCTGTTTGCTTCAATTAAACCATACTGTTACAAGTTTTTTCACAAGCAGATTTTTTTTTTCATTACAGTTAACAGCAGCGTTCTTCCATTTAAATTTTCAAAACCAATTCAAATTACTTACCTTTTGACTTTGGAGTTTCTACAGCTGCTGTAAAATAAAACATTCACAGAAACAAATTGCATGAAATGAATAAAGGAATTAAAATTGTTCCTAACACCTCCTCTCCTTATCAATATGCTACTTATCTATGCAGAGCAGGAGTGCATTTTTCATGTAGACAAAAAATGACACACAAATGTGTTGCTTGTTTAGATAGTCTCATGGCAGATGACTAATGAACCTGCAGATTAAAAGCAGTAGAAAACAAAGCCAATAGATAAGTTATATATGGAGCTTCAACCACTCTGCTATTTTCAAGTGTAAGGATGAGACAAGGAGTGAAATAGGCTCCAGAATGGGCAGATACCAAATATAGGCGGAAGGTATGCAACAGAATTTTTTTTTTTTTAACAATTTCAGAGATTTACAGAAGCTAGGAATTTTTTCATTTTTTTTGTTTTGAGTTTATTGAAACTTCTAGAATTGATACAGAGGAGGATCCAGTTCCAAAACTCTTCCTTTATATAAGTTTTCTCAGATAATTTTTTTACTATTCTTCACAATTGCATTAATTAAATGCAAATTAATTGAACTATCACATTTCTCTTTTTTTTTCATTATTCACACCTTCATTCTGAAGCACTGTGACAAGTTTTTATGTTATAGAAAAGGACAGATTAATTTTTCTACAAATTGACTTTCTACTGTAGGTATTTCATGCTCAGAATTTCTATCTGAGAAAATAGAGTCATCTGATGAATGAGTCATCAAGCTTGGCTGTAAAGGGAGAAAATCTGGATGGTGTCCCAAATTTGAATAAACTGGAGAAGTGTGGGAACAGGAGCACCTTGCTACAATAAAATGCATAGGTACTTGGCATAAAGAAAAATTAAACAGCCTACTTTTTCTACCTACCATCCACATTCTGAATCTTGTATTTTGTGTTTGTTTCTCTGTCCATTTACTGTAACTTCCTTTGGAAAGTGAAACCTTTTAAAAGATTAAATAAAGAATTCTTTCTCTCTTGTTCTTCTCAACATTTAATTAGATCTCAGTTCCAGAAGACCGAATGGTTGCTCCACATCCATTCAATTGCTTAAGAAACTTTAATTAAACCACCAAAATTATATTAATGGCTTTATTTTTTTAATCCCTCTATGTAATCCTGTCTCAACTGAAAATCAAATCAGATAAATGAGACTCTAAATCTTACAGTCTTTTACAGGACTTACCATGTACTTTTGCTTCTTTCTTTGTTGTTTTGCCTGTAAAAGCAAATTTTAAAAAGTATCAAATATTAACTTCTGACAAGAACTAATTTAAAATATTAGGATTGTTTAAAAGTAAGATAAAAAGGAGAGAATATTCACCAGATTCCATTATTTTTTCTTTTTTCTGTGGATCTGGAAAAGAAAAAAAAATTAAGTGTACATTTCTCTTCTTGTAATGCTTTTTTTGATTGCCTTGGACAATGATTTTCCATGTTACTATTGGTCATTGGATGTGACACATTGCTATGGACCTTCAGTTCAGTGATTCCTTCCCTGCTTTCCAGTTGGTCCTTTATGTTTGTGATCTATCTCTTCAGTGGTTTTTCACACTGGATAAACAGGGTCAGATTAGCTATTAATAAGAGAGAGCAAAGGATTAATCTTTTATAAGGTGCTGAAAAGAAACCATAAAAATGGTGTAGGTAAAAACATCTGCAGTTTTACTTCAGGGTGGTTTAAATGGAGGTCTGCAACCCAACTATACGTGCTTGAGGACAACTACTTGTAATGGTAGTTTCTGTAATATCTCTTTCCATGAAGCAAGAATGTGCTTTAACGCCCCCTCAGAGAAGGAACAGGGCAGCCTGCCACAGAGAGAGACTGAACAACGTCTACCAGCCAGTGCTGACATTCACAGTAGCAAAAAAAAAAAATAGTTAAGCTTTTTCTGTCTGCAGATGCTTTTAAACAGCACATGGAAAGGCTGTGTTGTGCAAGTTTGGATCTACACAGGAACATTTTCTAAATTCAAGAATATCTGAGCTGACTGATCACAAGATAGATGTCAGAATCATCAAATTCAAATCAATAGACTATCCTGAGGTGGAAGGGATATTACTGAGTTCTAACTCAGGATATTCTATGATGCTGTGATTCACAAAGATCATTGGGTCCTGCTCCTGGCTCTCCACAGAATAACCCCAACAGTCACACCCTGTGCCTGAGAGCATTGTCCACATGCTTCTTGAACTCTCAGTCTTGGTGCTGTGGCCACTTCCCTGGGGAGCCTGTTCCAGTGCCCAGCCACCCTCTGGGTGAGGAACCTTTTCCTGATATCCAACCTAAACTTCTCTTGATTCAGCTCCAGACCATGCTCTCAGGTCCTGTCACTGGTCAGCACAAAGAAGAGATCAATGTCTGCTGCTCTGTTTCCCCTCCAGAGGAAGTTGCAGACAGCAATGAGGTCTAACCCCAGTCCCAGTCTGCACAAACCAAGTAATTTCATCCACTCCTTATATGACTTTTCCACTAGACACTTAAGTTTCTTCACAGTCTTCCTCTGGATGCTCCCTAATAACTTTATATCCTTATATTGTGGTGGTCAAAACTGCACACAGGACTCAAAGTGAACACTTTTAAATACAAGCTCATCACTTACTGGTATCCGATGACTGTATTTTCTCCAGGCTTATTATAAGTTATATTTGTATTAAAGCTGTGATATAGAGTTTTAAACTAATCTTTAAACAGTTTCCAATCTAGAATCAAGATATAAAGTTCCGTGTTCAAAGCAGTTCTGAATGTTACACCCTCATTAAAAGCAGCCTTATTCCCAGATGTGACCTATCACTCAATTGAATAAGAAAAAGTAAACAAGACGTGCCAACATAAAATGACTTATTAACAACATTAATATAATACTTTCAAATTAATATTTGAAAGGACAGATTGATCTTAAATATGAAAGACCCCACAATTGTTAAGTTTTAAGCAAAATATGTCATTACTCCATATTCCCACCCCAATAAAAGCTTACACTGAACAACATTTCAAAGCAACAAGATTGACTGAAATCATGAGCGAGTCTTAATATAGTTATGTAAAGAACAGTTTAGTGTATTGATTACATAACAAATGTTAAAAATATTGTAGGCTCTTTAAGACACCTTTTATATGAGAAAAGAATTTTTTAGTAGAAATGATGATGGAGCAGGTTTGTGTCATCAAAAAAAAAAGTCATGGCTGTGATTTTCCCTGCAATATGAAAAAGTGATGGAAATAGAGAGAAAGATGGTATTTTATTGCCTGAATAAATGTACTTTCTTGATGGCATCCTACCCTGGGTTGCAATTTTACTAGATCAAGGAGGAAAACTATAGATAAAATTGAGAGGACAAAAGTTTGGGACACCGTGGTTTGGCCACTTCAATGCTCCTAATCATGACATCATCTGCAGCTTTGGTTTTGTGTAGCCTGATTGCTCTTCAGACCCTCCACTTTCTTGCAGATATTTTAGGACTTGTTCTGGAAATTATAATTTTCACTGGTATTGTGGGGGTTTCTATTTGACTATTGCCCAGGACAGCTTCATGGAAACTAAAGAAAATGGAATTCTACCTTTAGTGGTTCTGAGGCAATTATTTTCCTCTCTCATTCTAAGATCTCTCAGCTCTCAGGAGATCAGGGAACAGAATGATCCTAACGACACTCAAGCAAGTGTTTTGGCAAAGTATAAAAGAATCCATTTATTTAGCTTTATTTCACAATTTTCATTTCCCTAAACTGCAAACATTAAGGAAGGCCTATAGAGCTTCTTTCATAATAGTTTTATTTTCAGAGGCATATGAAATAAAATCCTTTTCCATAAGAAAATTTATGAAAATGAATAACAGAGAATTTGACTTGAAACATTTCTGGGAAATATGATATGATATGATATGATATGATATATGATATGATGATATGATATGATATGATATGATATGATATGATATGATATGATATGATATGATATGATATGATATTTCAGGTGATTCATGTCCTGAGATTTGAATAGAATGAACTGAAAACTTTTATTGCATGAGCCATAAACTGCAAAAATTTCAGACCTAGATCTTTCCTGGTTGTAAAAAGTTATCATTCCTTGATGTCAATGTCTTATTCTTTACTTTTTTTGTACTTTCAGTAGTTAATATGACACATAAAAGGATATTGCCAGCTGTAAACATATCAGACATTTGCCATGGCCTTTGTCATTATTTTTATGTTTAATCATTTTTGCATGTATCTGCGATTGTACAGCATATTTTTATTCAGGGAAGTTTTGCTGGTAATATAGTATTTTTCTACCATGCATGGAATTGAGATTTGATTTAGTTTGACATTTTACCATCTTTATTTGCTCTGATGCTTTAAACAAATGGCTTTTATTGTTTATGAAATCTAGCAAAGTTTTGTATAAAATGCTCATAAAGCCATACAAATGTGGTTTTTGCTTCATTACTAGTGACATACTCCTAGGCAATTCAGAGTAGGTGGAAGAGAGAAGAAAATCTGAACCTTCCTCTGTAGCCCTTCCCTAAGCCACATTATTCCCTAAAGGAAAAACAGTGCTGAAAAGCATCTAGGCTGGCAAATTTGCTGAGGTGTATTTTGATTTTTAGTTCCAGAATAGACAGTCACAAAGTGTGACCCTCTGCCACCTGACAGGAAATAACAGTTGATTTCCTGTTATAATTTATGTAGGAATGAGCGCGTGACAGTGGTCACAGGGGTCTTAGGATGAGGGAAGAGACGAGGATTTGACTCCATGTTTCAGAAGGCTTGATTTTTTATTTTATGATATATATTACATTAAAACTATACTAAAAGAATAGAAGAAAAGATTTCATCTCAGAAGGCTAGCTAAGCTAAGAATAGAAAGGAAAGAATGATAACAAAGGTTTGTGGCTCGGACACTGTGTCCAAGCCAGCTGGGCTGTGATTGGCCATTAATTCTAAACATCCACATGAGACCAATCACAGACCCACCCGTTGTATTCCACAACAACAGATAATCATTGTTTACATTTTGTCCCTGAGGCTTCTCAGCTTCTCAGGAGGAAAAAAATCCTAAGGAAAGATTTCTTATAAAAAGATGTCTGCGACAATAAGTGTTTCTGTGAACTTGTATTTTTCTAGTTCAGATAAAGCATTCATGTCCAAGAATGGTTCAGGAAAACAAAAATTGTATTGGGAATGACACCGATTGGAAAAGTTTAAATAAATGCATTCAAAGTGGATATGAAAAAAATATGCTGTTGTGTGGAATGCATCACATGTTAATTAACCAACACCATTTTGTTTGCACTCAGTAGCTGAATAAAAATGGTGCTTTCTGTAGTTTTGTTTATCTTTCACCACAAATATTTCAGTGAAGCCTGTTGTCATATTCTATCCAGTGTCTTAAATTCTTAGCAGAAAGTTAGCTTAGTCTTTTGGTTTTGTAATCTTGGTTTTATAGACTATGCATAAAACTTCTCGGAACTTCATATCATGTTGGTTAATTAAAACCAAGTAAGACAGAGCGGTAAAGCTCTCCAAGTTACCCTGTCATTAAGAATTTTACAAACATAACCATTTATCTAAAGAGAAGGTCCCTTTAGTCCCTTCTGCTGACGGGAAATGTTGCAATATGTGTGCAACTGTGTTGTTAGACCTGAGATAATCCACATGAGAAATTGTGGCATCAAACTAATATGCATGTGTCATATTAACTACTTGAAAGTACAACAAAAAGTGAAAAATAAGACATTGACATCAAGGAATGGTAACTTTTTCCTGTTCTCCTGCTCCCACGGAGCATGTGTTCTTCTATATTTCACTGCTATTCTTATTTTCTTGCTCATTGTAGAAAACCTCACCACTGTTTTATGCTTTGATTTATAAAGATCATGAGCTGTACAAATACATTTCTTTCTGGAATAAGAACACACCAAGGAAACCTCTTACATCATGAAATCATGACACACATATACTCACTCCTCTGTATCCTCTATATATAATCATCTTTTGAGGAAGGCAACAGTTTTTCCAATGGATTTTTGTGAAGAAAAGGAAAGCAGGTGACAGTTCGCTGTATCAGTATATTTGTCAGAAATGTACTACTTTTTTGGGAAATATCTGACAAAAATTTTGTGCAAAGAAAAGAAAGAAAAGCTTGGATGAAATACAACTGCATTTAGTTCCATCTATTTAGTCTGAGGCTTTTCATCACAGGC